TAGTCAAATTGGCCAAGCCGACCTTCAAAGCAGAAACTTCTTTTCACAGCTCGCGATTCTCCTGTTCCAAGTTATCCATCTTCTTTTTGAAGTTTGCCTGAGTGCTGTAGTGATGAGTCAGCTTGCTGAATGAAGTAAAGAAGTTGGGTAAGGCACCTGGATATGCACAGTAAATGCAATAAATATGTGCAATATGATGCATGATATGTGTTGTACCCCAAAATTTTCCCTCCCATATTCTTCAAGATTTGCCAAGATCATGCTTCAAAATCTCTCAAGGGTTGCACAGTTCAAGGGCCTCCTAACAGTCAAAAATTAGGGTTTTGGTTCTGGAAAAGAAATTGAAGTTTTCAAGGGTCCAAACAAGTCCTACATGCCTACAAACATTTTCAAGCATCCTCATGTCAAGTTTCAAGACTTACAGCACAAAATTGCACAGTCAAAAACCCTAATTGCTCAACAGTCAACTGCAGGGGCAAAATGGTCATTTGACAGTCAAAAGTCCAAATTTTTGGTCAACATCTTATTTTGAAGCCACAAACATCATTTGATCAATGCTTGATCATGATTCCCAAGGCATGGCTCAAAAAGTCTCAAGATGCAAAAGTTTCCATATTTGGACAGTTGAAAAAGTCAACTGCAAATTGACCAAGGCATAACTTCCACATGGTTTATCAGAAAAATTCCATCCAAAGCTCATTTTGAAGAGAATGACATTTCCTACAACTCATCTTCACACTTCAAGTCCAAGAAATGCTCTCACAAAAAGTTATCAATCTCAACATTATAGGTCATTTTCAAAAGTCAACAAAAAGGGACTTTAAGTCAAAGACCATAACTTGAGATTGGTAAATCAAAATGACATGGGACCAAAGGCATTGGTTAGAGGACTTCAATAACTTTCCAAAATGTCCAAGAACATGATCAAATCTTAAAAATTGAGCAAGATATGCCTTGTGGAAGTTGGGAAATTTTTGGGAATTTTGAAAAGTCAACTTTGCTTCAAATGCCTCAAAATTGCTAATGGGCCTCAATTTCTTCCAAGAATCATCACCCAAAAGCTATGCACGACCCATTGACCCAAAGGGGAGTTATTTTCCTATTTTTAATTAATTAATTGAATATTTAATCTATTTAATTCATTTAATTAAAATTAATTATAAGAAAAATACTAATCCATGCTTTTCAAATCTTTTTGTGCATAGAATTCACTCAAGATTTCGTGCACTATTCAATAAGGAAAGAATCAAGGTGATTGGCAATGATTGGCATGTTCTTCACATGAAAAAAGATTGAAAAAGATACCATTAAAATCAAATATTGAAACATTGATTGCAAAGGTTTATGGACTTGGATTTCTACCCTAATTCATTCCATATACATAGACAAACCTAAACCTAATCAAGGAGACTCAGAGGTTGCGCCCAAGAACACCATACACTTTGCACTTTTCTCTAAAAAATTTCAAAACTGAAAACATAGTTAGAGTTTGTTTCAAGGCAAAATAACCATTCCAATAGCTTGCTTACACATCCAGGAAGCTTTCTCAATCGAAATCACAATCCCTAACCTCAAGAACTGGTAGCACGAAGTCACCCTGTTCATGTTTTTTTTTTTGCATATTCGTATTCATATTTTCATGCCATATCAATACAGTTTAATGTTTGATTTGCACTAATGTGGACTCACTGAAGCTTTTGGTGTATTTTAATTGAACTAATCTTGCCTGTAGCGAAATATACCATTGAAGTGTTCTAGGGTTTCAGAAGCTTCCATTTGGGGCTTTGAGTATCTGGTAAAATTAGACCATGAGACTAGGACCATTGAATTCGTAACATTCCAACGAATCTAAAACACTCATCGCGCTCAATTTATCATTGCCCAATTTCTATTCGCTATTATTGGTGGTTTCAGATTGTGGGGGTTTAAAACCCCCGCTATCTAATGCATATATTTACAGGAAAACGAAGAAGAAGATTGGGTGTCCTCACGTGGTTGGCTGGTTCAAAAAGCTGGCGCATTTTTGTCTTCATATCACTAACCCTTATTTATTATTATATTATTTATTTTCCATTGTATTAACAAATATGCTTAATGGCTCGGTTGGTAGAAAGAGATGTTTGCAAGCCTTGGGACCTGGGTTCGATTCCCAGGTCCCCCCATATATTTCATGCTTTTTCAATTAACATGCTTCTGTGCAGCGTACCATCCAAGGACTATCATGCAACCTCGCTTCTTAACTTGACACGCGCCCAGGAAGTCCAATCTAAGGGCTATCAACAAGCGACTACTATGTACGTTAGTCAGCTATCCCACATAAGCGCTGGAAAAGTCAACGTGGCCAACATCCTGATGGGTCAAAACTCCTCTAATCACACCTCCAATTGGGCCAACTCACCCCCTCTGGTTTGCATATGTATATTTTTATTTCTTGTTTTAATTCTTTCTTTATTCTTTTGTTTGCTTTATTATTTTAATTAATTTACCAAAAAATAAATTTTTATAACACAAAAAAATACAAAAAAATCAGAAAGTCAAAAAATAAATATGTTTATTATTTAATTCAATAATATTTATTTTGTAAATAAATCTCATAATCAATTTAGTTTTAATTTTAGGTTTTAACTTTAATGCTTTTTTTTCTTAAATAATTAAAAAAATATAAAAACAAGTCTTTTAGCTTTTTTTTATTCTTTTTCTTAATAAATAGTCTTTTTTTTCCTTATCACTATAAATTATCAATTATTTTTGTAAATAACTTATAATTAAATAATTAGTAAATTAGGTCAAACTTGAATTTATTTCCTTAATAATTAAAAATGTTTAGAATTAGGGTTTTAATTCCATTAAATTTTCTTTAATTTCATAAATACACAAAAAAAAAACATAAAAAATAAGTTCTTCTTTTCTTTAATCATTAATTCACTAATAACTTTAATTTAATCTCTTTAAAAGGTCCAACGCCTTCGCACCTTCGAATATATTTTCTCTTCGCGCATCTATTTTTATTTTCTTGTATGAATGTAATGTATTTGCCCCAAAGCCTTGTAATAGCTAATTAGGACATTTATTTTCCCGCATTTTTCTTTTCGTTCAAATCGGGTCTTGGTTTAATTTGGCGATGTAGACCCGCGCCTTTGTAATAGCGTAGGACTTTTATCTTCCCGCACCTTTTAACTGTTAATAATTTGCATGAAAGAATGAATGGCCAAAAATAAAATCAAAGCGTAGAACACTCAATGCATGACAAGACAAATATAATTGAAAATGACACACAATTCACACACCACTCTTAGGGTACGCCTCACTGTTGCCTTGCCCCTCGAAACGTGGTCGTCGAGTAGAGGACGTTTTAGTAAGTCCTCATGTCCATGAACATGGCATGGGGGTAGCTTCTAAGGTGTCTTCCTATTGCTCTGGTGACCATAATGTCCAGAACCCTCGAATTGACCCGAACACCTCCAACGGTGGTGCTACCTACCTCTCAATGGTGGGATGGCACTACTTTAAGGACATTTACACAGACTAATTCCTTAGGGTAGGTAGATGACTCGTAGATACTTGCTCTAATTCAAAACAAATCAAAACTTCTTTTCACACCGACACTTTTCAAAAAGTTTTCAAAAACAACTTTTCAAACACTCTTGAGGACTGATACAAGAGTCGAACTGAAATTTTAAACGAAACTTTTTCAAACCCACAGTTGAAAAGCAAACAAACATTTTGAAAACACAAATGAGAAAATATCTAAGAGCCCATGGATAACCATGGATAGAAGGGGTGCTAACACCTTCCCTTTCTATAACCCTACCTCCTGAACCGAGAGCTAATCTCAATAAGGAATTTTTCTGTGCTTTTGTCCTGTCCATGTTGGAGAAAATAAAAGACGGTGGCGACTCTTGCTTCCGCGACATTTTGTGAACCAGCGTTAAACAGTCAGTTCCAGATCCACCGATCACAGAACTGGCGACTCTGCTGGGGAGAATTTTATAAAGTGAGGTGTACCTTAGGACTAAGATCACTTGTGTTTTCAATTGTTTTGACTTGTTTGCTTTAAATTGTGGGTTGCATCGGAGTTACATAGATCCTAACCCGGATCTAGGGATACCCTGTTTAGGTAGCATAAGCTGTGAGGGACCTGTCCGGCGTAGACCGACACGGGTGAAGCAGTGGCTACGTTGGTGTGGCATCTTGGTCTGTACCGATATCCCTTGTGTTGCAACGAGGAAAATATGGGTCTTCTGAGGAGTCATTAAGCACCAACAGACCTTAGAACCTTAAATGACACAACTTGGCCATTAGAACAGTAGCAGTATGCTACGCCCATTGAGGCTAAACTCTCGTGATGGTTCTGGCCGCAAGAAAAGATTGCGATGCTGGAGTTATACAAGAAAATTGGCAGATTGCGACAGGTATTTTTGTAGATCACGACGGTTAAAACCGTCGCAATTTGCTTTCCACGACGGTTGCTTTACCGTCGCAGAAGTGTGTGTCCCCAACCTATTTCGCGACGGTTACAAAAACTGTCGTTCAAGTTTACGACGGGTTGATACCGTCGTGACTATCTTTTGAGTTTCTTTTAATTATTGATGGCGACGGTTCGATACTGTCGTGAATATCTTTTGAAATTGATTAAATTGTTTATGGCAACGGTTCGATACCGTCATGACTTTTGTTGATTATTTTTAATTGTTGATTACGACGGTTCGCTACTGTCGCCATGACTTTTGTTTATGTCTTGACTTTTGTTTAAAGTTGGACCTATATCACGAAATATTTTTCTACATTATTTGTATATGTATAAGATCGAATTTAAATCCACTGATTTCTCTGCAAATTGCAGAAAACATATAAACATATAATGCATCTTTACTTTCTTTTCCACTTTGAGCTTTATAATTTGAAATATCCCATCTTTCTAAAAAAGAAAATGAGATAAGAATTACAACATAAATAACATGTTACAATTGCTTCAAGCAGAACCTCTTTAGATACACATACTATAAGAGACCAAAAGGCTCAGGCAGGTTCTCGAATCCATTATCAAATAATAAGGAGCCTTGATCAAATTTATCATCCACACTATGAAGCCAGTTTGTATTCTTCAAATCTTCTTTAAGCAACAGCGCGTCGTAACGAGAGCTCTCGTATACGTCAATTTCACTCAGTTTTGCTGAGTATTGTCTTTCATCTATCTCTCTTCCTTTTATCATATTTCTATTGATTCCGTTTACCACGTCAAAATGGGATCCATTATTTTTGTTTAGTATGTTTCCGTTCGCTTCGATAGATGTTGGTGGAGCACTTGAACCTCGATTATATTGACTCTTGGGCGTGGAATTTCGAATACTTTGTGGAAACAGTGTGGTGCTTGATAGTGCACGATGATTTCCCGAGCCGTTCCTTATGTCCTGTTAAACAGAAAAGTGCGTGTAAATTGGGTTTGCGTGATAAAACAAACTTGCTTGGAGCATACATCTTCACAAAATAAGATTCGGCAACAAAATAAGATAGATAAATCAGTTTCTCACTGTTTAGAACCAACTAAAGATAAAACCGACTTACGGATCCAAATACGTTAACAGCTGATTTTCTCAGTTGCATCTGCTTGACCATTCTACTAGGATCTCTCATATAGCCAGCAACTTGATTGCTGATATCCTGCAACATGGACAACAAATTAGAAGTTAAATATTTGGTGTCACACTTGAATTCGCATTCCAGTCACAGAACCTCACCTGATTAAAAGCGTGTTTGCCTTTAATTGCAGCAACACCGGTTGTCACTTGCGTAATCCTCTGCCATTTGTTGATAGACTTGTCTCTGAAAGATGCTATACTGCAAGATACAATCATGAAGAGCATCAGCCAAGCAGACTTGCAAATAGAAGAACAGCCCGTGCTCAAGATAGAAATGCAGCTAAACTTAAGTTCAAAAGCTGTTGTTTGGAGAAGTATTAAGCATAATAGACACGAAGATCGGGTTTATGAAACAAAACTATATATCAATGCTGTTATGTCACGAGAAATTAGCACAAAAATTGTGCACTTAGAATGCTATGAAAATACCTGTTGTGCATCCGAGAAATTTGTGACCACTCTTGGTCAAGATTGTCTTCCAAAACATTAGAAACTTCTTTTGATGACTTTTCTGAACCTTTTAAAAGAAACAAATATTTGGTTGGTTATTTTGGAAGTTATAAGTCACACATTAGAACTCTCATCTCCAGCACAAATCAATGTTTCCAACTCGGTCAAAAAATAGAAAGGAAAAATAGATAGAGTTTATCATATTTTGAGCTACAATTAACTAGAGAAATAAAGAACACTTGGCCAGTTCTCAATTCCCTCAAACAACTATATCATGAACCAACTGTGGTACTAGTAATACCACTGCTTACAGAGAATAATATATACATGACCCTCAATAATAACTACAAAGATATGTCGCAATCATCAAACATAACAAGGTGTCAATAGCACAAAGTTTAACAAGAAAGAAAAATCTAGAATAAACGAGAATGGGAAAAGAACATGAAGAAATCACCATTAACAGCTTGGGTTACTGACGGATTCTTTGCATAACAGGCCAAGTGATCCATTTCTGCTGCTACCAGCATCATTAGGCTTTGAAACTATTCTTGCCGTCACTGTTTGCCCAATTTTGTAGCCAGAAAATGGATTTACAGCTGACCCACCTCTGCTGAGAACAAACCGGAAACAGGACCTCAGACATTCAATTTTTAAGCAATTAAAGGCTGGTCTTTAACTTTGTCCACTGAGAGATTCAGTTTAGTCCATTTCACACGCCATGTCAAAACTAAGAGTGTCCCAGTTTGACACACAAGGCCACAAATCAGACCGATCCATAAACCCTATATCATAAACCAAATTCAAGAGATAACACGGTGAATATACAAATGAATGCAAAATCAACATGATTTTTCTCGGCATCAACACGAAGAAATATTTGGTCTAAATTTAGACTAAATATTTAAAACTGGATGGAGTCACTATTTTACCTTATATTGCAAATTGGTCTTAAATCCGAGGAGACATGAAATTGGCAAACCAATGAGATAAAAAGTTGCAAGGTTGACATAAACTGCTAAATGCTGCCAACCACTTCCTCTAGCCACTCCTGCATTATTCAAGACGTGTTTATTCCTAAGGGTGTCTGTTAAAGACCATGTTGTGGAGAAAAAGTTAAAAGAGATAAAGAACTCAAACCTGATAAGACTCCTTGGACAGAATCTAGTAATATGGAAATAGCAAGCAAGGGTGTTATTGAAGCAAACTCCTCTTTTATAACAGGACTATTACTAAACAGCTGAATCCATATATCATGACCAAATACAAGTAACAAAACAAACCCGAGTCCAAGGAGAAGAGAGAGCTTTAGAGAGACTCTCATTGCATGTTTAGCTCTTTCTGGTCGGCCTGCTCCCAATTCATTGGAAACTCTTGTGCTATAAAAGTTAAGTTCAAACTTTTCAATATAAGTACAAGAACGTTGATTAAAATGCTTATGTCGAAAGATAAATCCAATAAAATACACCCATTGAAGTAGATTGAATTGTTTGCGGTCGCACAATCACGTTGCTGCAGGATCTTAGCCGTTGGATGAAAATTGTATGTCTCATATTTTAAATTTGATTAGATAAAGTTAGAACGAGCCATCGATCTTCATCGAACAACTGAGATCTCTTGACTGCTTGATTTCCTAGACTATAGGAAATTCAGGTCTAGAAGGAAATATACAACAATACCAAAGAAAGAGAGTATGTTAACTTTGATGAACTAACCTTGCAGCAGCACTAAGACCGTAAGTGATCATGTAAGCAAATGATTCTGTGTTTGCACTGCATAGTATATTTTTTGGAAGAATAGGTCATATGTATCTTTATTCTCTTCATTTTAGTAACAAAAATGTCAAGGTATAAGAAGCATACCATATTGCAATCAATGAAGTTGTGATTTGTGAGTTAGGCAGTAATCCAGCTAGGAAAACCATAATTTCAAAAGCCCAATACTCCAAACTAGAAACATTAAAAAGTAAAATAGTAAGATTCTTAATAGAAGTATTTTACATTAAACAGAAAAAGCATGATATTGTTCTAAGTTTGATCATCAAAAGGGACAAATAAAGTGAAAGGCATTTAGACACTCATACCACACCATTGCCGCAGAAGGCAGAGCTAGTTTCATGCTTGTGATTAAGTAATGAAATGATTGCATTGAAAATCCTGTCCATGTATTCTCAAACTTCTTCGCATACATGACATATGAACCTAACAATATCATTATTATCCACATTGAAACAGAAGTTGCAATAGGTCCACCTATGAAATTCAAACCTATCCATTCAACAAATCCATAAGCAATTCCCACATGAATCAATGCTGGAATAGCTGAAAGGTAAACCAGTGGCATGACTACAGATTGTGTTTGTAGAAACCTCAAGATGTTTTGCAAGATGCTAAATGCAAATAATCCTGGTATAAGAAACTTCATATAGAGTGCAGCCGTTCTAGCAATGTCTTGTGATTGATGAAGAAACACAAGAATGTGCTCGGTATAGAACCAAACAATGGATATAATGATTTCAGATTTTGTCAAATGTGCTAGCTTCACTTTTTCTTTCTTGCAATACACATCAATGAGAGTGTTATATGTAACAATATTAGGCACTTCTCCCTTTTTCTCCATATCCCTAAAGAACCTCTCAGCTTCAGCAAGGTTTCCTTCCTTGCAATATATCTCGATAAACATAGTGAAAGTCACAACATTTGGTTCCACTCCTTTCTCTACCATTGAATTTAAAGTACACTTGGCTTCGTCATACCTATGCAATTTACATAGCCCATTTGCAAGAATGTTGAATGTAAACACATCTGCATTGAATCCTTTCCTTTCCATGATCGTTTGCAGCCTCAAAGCTTCATCCATCATTCCTCTTTTGCAGTAGCCATCTATCATCGTGTTAAATATTATCATATTTAGGTCAATTCCCTTACTTTGCATCTCTTCCAACAAGATTTCCGCAGCTTCCATTTGACCAGCCTTACACACACCACCAATCAACGCGCCGTAAGTATGTGCATTAGGAGCAACATTTCTCTGAGCCATCTCATCAAACAACGCAAATGCCCTTTTCATATTTCCCAACCTACAATTCCAACTTATCATGGACGAATAAACATAAACATCAATTTCTATTTTTCTTTCACGCATTTCCTCGAATATCTTCTCCACTTCCCCAATATCACCAGAACTAGAATACCACTGAATCAAAATACTATAAGTCGCCACACTAAAAACAACCGGCTCCTTCTCCATCAACCTCAGTATCTCACCAACTCCACTTCGATCCTTTCTTCCAACATACGCATTCAACAACGTATTGTAAGTAAACACAGTCGGTTTCACAATGCTTTTAGTGACCATCTCATCCATCAACTCCTTAGCTTTCTCAACCTCTCCTCTCTTACACAAGCCATCAATCACAAGTGTCAAAGACTGAACCCTAATTTCAATTCCATTAGACTCAACCATCCGGCGGAAGAATCTAAGACACAACTCAATCTCACCACATCTCTTCAAAGCAAGCAAAAGCACAAAACAAGACCTCTCCTCTATCACGAACCCCTTTTCCTCCACATAATCAAAAACCCTAACCGCCTCTGGAAACAACCTATTATCAGAACAAACCCTAAACAACATATCACAAAGCTTGTCAACAAAATGAAACTCAAATTCATCAAGCAAATCAACGATCCCCGAAACTGGGGAGCGAAATTGGGAATCAGTAACAACGGAATTCAGAATAGTCTTGATGGTGGCGAATTTGCGAGCTTTAAAGAGTCTAGAAAAGAGAATCAAATGGGCCTTCAGGTCAGGTTTGAGTGAATGGTTGGAATGATGGGTTTTGAGAAAGTGGAAAAAGGATAAACAGGAATGCGGTTGGAGAATAGGGTCTGAAAGAACACGGTAAGTAACATGGGGGGTGAAGGTGATGCAGGAAATGATGGAGTGAAGTTCGGTGTTATTGGGTTTGAAATAGTTGGGTTTAAATTGCAGTAAAGCGTAATAGACGAAGCGGGGTAAAGGATTTAGGGGGACGACGGGTGTGGTTACCGTCGTGCCCTTTCATAACTTTTGCATGTTTTTTAAAGGTTTAGGGGGGCGACGGTTGTTTTACCGTCGTGATGTCTATTTTAGGACGGTTTCTTAACCGTCGCAACATTCATTTTAGGGCGGTAGGTGTATACCGTCGTGACATGGGTCCCTATATTAGAATTACGACGGTTATTAAGCAACTGTCGCAATTTTTGTGTCGTAAAATCCTAATTTTCTTGTAGTGTATGACCGATTGAGGGTAGTCAATGATATTGGGATCCTCTAAGAACCCGGTTACTTTTGATAGGACAGGTATGAACCAACAAACTGAAAGAGGGTAATACCTAGACCTCATGCTGGCCTAAAACTTTAAGGGCTTGTCTTGTGTGACTTGTGTGCCTTACATGTGTGCCTTTGTAAATATTTGTGGTGTGCTTTATCATAACATCATAACATCATGAGCATTGCATGCATCCTGCATAGGGACTGACCATTTCAAAGACAAGAGGGTTTCACCTTTGCTCTGTTTTGTAGGACATCATGATGCCTGTGCGAAGGAATACTATCCGGTTCAACTTTGTTCACCCACCTGAGTTGCTTGAAGAGTTGGTTAGCAGGATTCCAAATACCACTTCCTTCATCCAGAGGCATGGTTCTCTTCTCAGTTTAGTCACTGCAAAGCGGGATCAACAGTTGATGAGTGTCCTGACCCAGTTCTATGACCCTCTGTACCAGTGTTTCACCTTTCAAGACTTCTAGCTGGTCCCTACCCTGGAAGAGTTCTCTGATTTGCTTGGTATCCCTATCTTGGATCAGACTCTCTTCACTGGTTGGGAAAAGACCCTCAGGCTTGAGGAGGTGGCTGCAGCTCTTCCCTTGACTCATCAAGAAGTAATGGACAACTGGGTGACTAGAAGCGGAGTTAAGGGTTTCTTGGCCAAGTTTCTGATTGGTAAAGCTAACAGTTTCTGGAATGACTTGGACTTTAGGGCATATGAAGACATCTTGGCTCTCTTAATCTATGGGCTAATCTTGTTTCCTAATCCTGACAACTTCATCAATGTCACTGCCATAAGGATCTTTATGTCTCAGAACCCTGTGCCCACTCTCTTGGGTGACATCCTGCAACAACTTTATGCTCGTACTGCCCGAAGACGAGGAACTCTATGGTGTTGTATCCCTTTGTTGGTGAGGTGGTTTATTTCGCACCTCCCTAAGTTCGTTCTGAAGAACCAAGCAGGAAGAGGTTGGGCTCATAGGTTAATGTCCCTCACTGATAAGGACATCATTTGGACTTTCAGAGGTTTGGATGAGGTAGCTGTTATTGATCGTTGCGAAGAATACCCTAATGTTCCTTTGATTGGTACTCAAGGAGGAATCTCTTACAATCCATGTCTAGCGCTCCGTCAGTTTGGAAGAGCCAGAAGAGCAGGGCCTCATGAGATGTTGGTGCCTCACATCAGTTTTGAGTTTCAGGTGGATAGTGACGAGCTGCGTCGTAGGTTCATCAAGGCTTGGGATAGAGTTCATAAAGCTGATCCACAAGAGTTGGGGCCAAAGACTTCTCTACCTATGGAAGCCTACTACAAATGGGTCTGCATCCGTGCTCAGAAGTTAGGTATGCCATACGAAGCTGTCAGACCCGTCATTCTTGAGTATCCTGACAAAGATGGGGCTCCTCCAACTGTCCTCCCTCCTCAGATACCTACTGATTATGAGACATTAAAGAGGTCTTGGTCGCAACTCCGAGAAGAACGGGATTCGTATCGGGAAAAGTTCAACGAGCAGGAATTGAAGATCCAGAAGCTGACAAAGCAGTTGGAAAATGAGCGAGCTCTGAATGACTACATCCGTACTGAGAAGAGGAGACCCTGGGATCAATAAGGAGCTCTGGATGTTCTTTTACAGTTTTATTTCCCTTTTCAGTATTTCCCTTTTATGTAAAGCCTAAGGGCAATCTGTTGAACAATTTAAGTTTCAAAGTTGAATCTAATGAAGTGTGTTCTTTTTTTTTTGTTTACAAAGTTGATTCCCGATTGTCTTTGAAAACATAAATCATACGCATTCCATTCATCATGTGCATAGCAGGTATTCTTCTTTTCAGGTTACTTACTGTTCTTCGCTGTTTATTTCAGCATCATGAACCCTGACTCATTATCAACCGAGATGTCTATCAAGGCCCTTCAGGCGCAGAACGCGCAATTTCAAGAGCTGATCATGGGTTTGGCTCAAGGCCAAGAAGAACTGAAGGCTTTACTCCTGAAGAAGGAGAAGAAGAAGAAGAGAACTGTTCTTTTCAACTCGGGCCGGAGGTTTGGTAACACTCTGAAGAATGAAGAAGCTGGTTCTTCTGTAGGCAAAGACAGTCCCCAGGGGGGAAAGGCTCTAAGTCCAGTAGTCTCTGACAACGAGACTGACTTTAATGAGGAACAGTATCCTCCTGCTGAAGACCGGTACAAGCAGCTGGAAGACAGACTGAATGCCATGGAGATCCAACAAGTGCCTGGGCTGGATTTCGGAGACTTGGGCTTATCTACTGGTGTGATCATTCCTCACAAGTTTAAGGCACCATCTTTCACCAAGTATGACGGGGAGTCTTGCCCCAAGCTGCACCTCAGATCTTATGTACGGAAGATTCAACCGTACACAGTGGACAAGAACTTGTGGATCCACTTCTTCTAGGAGAGTCTTTCAGGGACTCATCTTGAATGGTTCTATCAGCTGGATGGGACCAAGGTTCGTAACTGGGAGGAGTTGGCTACTGCTTTTTACAAGCAGTATCAATATAATGCCGACCTTGCTCCTACACGTACCCAACTCCAGGGTATGTCCCTAGGATCAAGCGAAGGTTTTAAAGAGTATGCACAGAAGTGGAGGGATCTGGCTGGCAGGGTGCAACCTCCGTTAACTGACCGTGAGCTGGTAGATATGTTCTTGGGGACCCTCTCCGGGCCGTTTTCAATCATCTTATCGGTAATTCGTCTGCAGGGTTTACTGATCTTATTCTGACTGGGGAAAGGATAGAGGCTGGAATGAAGTCCGGTAAGATTCAGAAGGGTACATCTTCAAATTCTGAGAAGAAACCCTTTAAAAAGGAGGCCAGTGCTGTGTATGGGCCTAGGAGGCATGATAAACCAGAACGCCGCCAATCTGTCAACGCGGTGGTGATTGCTAAGCCTGCTGCCGCTCCTCGGCAAACCAATCCACAAAGGGCTGAGAGACCCAGAAGAGAGTTTACCCGGCTGAGTATGACCCTATCACAAATCTTGCCGCAGTTTCTATCCACCAATTTGGTGACTGTCAGGGAGGCCCCAAAGGTTGTGAATACTGCCTCTCCCAAATATAATCCAAATGCTCGCTGTGCTTATCACTCCGATAGCCCGGGGCATTCTACTGATGACTGTTGGGCCTTAAGGAATAAGGTGCAAGACCTTATTGATGCGAAAGAGATACAATTTGAGGCGCCTGAGAGGCCAAATGTGGTGACTGCTCCTATGCCCCAGCATGGAGTGAATGCCGTTGATGAAGATGTGTATGCCGTTTCTGTGAATGATGTAGCTACTCCTCTAATGACTGTTAAGAGGAACCTACTGCTGGCCGGTTTATTTCCAGGTTGTAGCGAAGGTTGCCTTTTCTGTGCTGTTTCCCTTTCGGGTTGTCCTTTGCTGAAGTTGGGCATCCAAAGCCTGATGGACAGCAAGGAGATTCTATTCAAGAAGACCGTCGTTCTGTTTGTTCCTGTGGAAGAAGTATCTGTTGTTACAATCTTCAGTAATCCGATCAAGGCTCCCCCGAGGAAGCCGGTTAAAATCATGACTGTCGCACCCATTGTTATTACTGTTCCGGGGCCCCTCCCCTATGAATCTGATAAGGCTGTCCCATGGCACTATGGGGCAGATGTATATGTACACGGTATAAAGCAAGAGTTCAACACTGGTACCAGCATCAGCAATATTACAGGTCCAGCCAAAGTAACCCGCAGTGGCAGGCTCTTCTCGCCTGACATTGCGCCACCCGCTATTCGAAGACCTCTCATTATAACACCTGCAAGTGCACCTGTTCCCATTTCTGATCAAGTTGTTTCCCCTGCTGCCGAGTCATCTAATGCTCGGGGCAAAGGGATTGAAGATGAGCCTGCCCGGATGGAGGCGCCAAAGTCTGTGAATGTTGACGCCTCCCAGCAAGAGATGGAGGAAATTCTTAAAATAATCAAGAAGAGTGACTTTAATGTTGTTGAACAGCTGGGGAATACCCCCTCCAAGATCTCTATGCTCTCCTTGCTGTTGTGCTCAGAGGCCCATGCTAAGGCCCTGATTTCATTTCTCAAGATGGCTCATGTGCCACAGGAGACATATGCAGACCAGTTTACTGATTGCGTAGCCAATTTGACAGCCGACAATGGTTTGGGGTTCTCGGATGCTGACCTTACTGCTAAGGGAAAGAACCACAATGATGCCCTGCATGTCTCTATAGAATGCAAGGGCACTACTCTTGCACACGTGTTGGTGGACACCGGTTCTTCCCTGAATGTGCTACCCAAAAAGGCCTTAGACCGGTTGGATTGTGAGGGCCTGGAGCTGAAACCTAGCAACATCATTGTCAGAGCCTTTGACGGTTCTAAAAGGATGGTTCACGGAGAGGTAGACATTCCTATTCGTGTGGGTTCTCAAGTATTCGACTCAACTTTCTATGTGATGGATATCCGTCCATCTTATTCCTGTTTACTGGGTCGACCTTGGATCCACAAAGCTGGGGCAGTGACCTCTACCCTACACCAAAAACTCAAGTACCCTGTCAGAGGGAAGATTGTCACTGTGCAGGGAGAGGAGGAGTATATGGTTAGTCACTTGAATTCCTTCCGGTATATCGAGATGGACGGGGAGTTTATTGAAACCCCCTTTCAGCATTTTGAAGAGGTACCTCCAACATTGGCAGCAGCAGAAACAGTGGCTGAAGAGGACTTTCCCTTGAAGATGGCTTCCTTGAAGGACGCCCGGGCTGTAATCAAGAAAGGTGAATGTGCTAATTGGGGCAGGCTCCCTGATTTTACACCTAAAACTGACAAGTTTGGATTGGGTTTTACTGCAGAGGCTCAGAGGGTTGTGCGCAAGGCAAGGACCAGAAGACCTCCTGTGCTCATTACCAATCCAGGAGTGAATGCTATTGGGGATGAAGATGAAGTGGAAGAGTCAGAGTTTGATAGCTGGATCTACCCGACGACTGATGATGGATTGACCAATTGGACTGCTAAAGATCATACTCCTGTTACTTTTATTACGCAGTAATAAACTCCTTTGTTTTTGTTATTTGTTATTTGTAATAAACAATGAATTGAAACTCTATGGCCCGGTGTCTTACCCGGGGCATCGTGGCTTCGTTTGTGAGGGTATATTAATTGTCATTTCATATATCATGAATAAAGACCTTGGATGTTTTCTCGCATTTAAAATCTTATGCTCCTTTTCTTTCGTTCCTTTCTTTATATATTGCAAAACAGCTGTATTTACACACACTCACTCATACAGGTTTCAATCCACTCTGGATCTCACTGGTAACGACTCTGCTACTGCCAGTTATGACTTCGAAAATCCGATCAACTTAGCCGAAGACGAAGGTGAAGATGATTGCGAAGTGCCTGGCGAGCTTGCAAG